CTGCAACATTTTATAGAATCAGGACATTGGCTGCCATGTTTCCCCTGCTTTACCTGTGGCAGGTTAGGCTGTTAGGTCTTTGTTGTATCAGGGTTGAGGGTAATCTTATTTAGAGTTTAGATTGTATTTATATGGAATGGTTTGGCTAGGGCAGATCCTGCCTCAGACTGGGGGTTGGACTAAATGACCTCTGGAGGTCCTTTCCAGCCCTATTCCCTATGACTCTATAACTGTACCATGTAAGTACAGTGAGTAATGGACTTAGTGAATTGGAAAATCTAGTTCTAAGTAACTTAATGGTAGTATTAGTAAGCTATTCTGACTGGATTCTGTACTATGATATTCACAGAAACTGGCTTATGAGATGCATGAAAATAAAATGATAGCTGAGCCTAACTCTGGGGATTTGTATACAATAGTTTAATCCAGCATAAAATTTAACAGAGTCTATCGACAAAAATAAAACAGCTGAGTGTATTTAAATGTCTGTGATGCTTAATCAAAAACTTTTTTTGCAAATCAAGATGCAATCGTGTTTTTGAAATTTTAAAATATTTTGTCTAAATATGTTTATTCTCTTTAAATTAATTATTTAGGGGCACAAACGGTGTTAGTTGGTATTAGGCCTGTGCGAAGCAGCTAGTATTCGCTTCAGATTCAGCCAATTAGGGGGACAGTGATTTAATTGGGTGATTTGAATCACTGTACCGAATCGATTTGGCCGAATCTCTGAATCACCCAGGCTCATCCCCCACCCACTCTCTCAGCCTGGCAATGGCTGCCCTGCCGAGCCCAACTCCTGGCAGTTTGAAAAAAAAATAAGGCCCTGACTCACCAGGTACTGCTGGGCAGGGGGGACAATCCCTGCTGCCCCCCACGCCACTGTCCCAGCCTGCCCCCTCCCATGGCTGCCCCACCTGCCCCAGCTCTGGCCCTTTACGGAAAAAAAAACCTGAGAAAGACCCCAGACTCACCATTCCTGTCAGGTGGGAAGTGATCCCCGCTGCCCCCTGCTGCATAGGGGACTCTTACACAACCCCCCCCAAAGCCCCAAGGCCTCTGCAGGAGCAATGAGTCTCGGGGCTTTTCTCTTTTCTTTTTTTTCCTTAAAGGACCAGAG